AAATAGATGAGTGGTACACGATTTTATGTTACAAAACACTTTTTGATTTTGTGAAAATAAAAAAGTAAATATTTATTATTAAATCAGCCATATTTTTTTATCCAAAAAAAATAAAGTAAAATAAAACTGATAATGTTTTTGTGATAATTTTTTTATCATCCATAATTTTTTTTATCCAAAAGTAAGTCTATCTTGTCCAACCAAACAATTAATAAACTTTCCACTTCTTAAGGCCAACCTTTCTCTCTCATTCATTTTTTAATTAAAAAAAAAAAGAAGTTGCTATTAATAGCATGTAATAAATGCTTATTGAGTTTGACCAGAGTTTGACTTGCCATTTTTAAAAAATGGTAATTCTTTTTATGTATATATAGATTTAATAAATGTTATTCACTTTTTTTTTGTATTTAATAGCTCAAACCGTGGATTAAATTTACATTTCTAAAATACCCTAATTACGCAGATTGTGTAAATTCGATTGATTTATTCAATTATACTTTCTTATAAAATTATTCTAAAATAATTGTGTTAATGGTAGTTTCTATTTAATTATTTTTTAATAACTATTTTTAGGTCTTTTATTTTTATATATAATAAACGTGAGTCTTGATTTTGTTTTGTACGAAGAGCAATTAATTTCGTGATTAAAGTGAAAATTGTTTATTGAATTTTGTTGACGAAGTAGGAAATCGAATTATTTTGTATACTATATATTGATCCAATATACCCGCTTATAGTAATAATGATATCTCAATATATTTTTTTCATACTGTTAAGCATTTTACTCGATAATAAGGAAAGAAAATCTGGGTAATACTACATTCGGTTCTTATTTGTAAACGTGCGTAGAACATATCAATTTATTTGGTGTGTGTGTGTGTATGTGTGTGTGTGTGTGTGTGTGTGTCTATTGTATATATAAAGGTTTGTTTTACTTAAATCACATTGTAGTCAAATTGAATTTCTAAATAAAATTTTTAAAATGACATTTATTTTGAGATAAATATTGTGTCACTTATTATCAGTTACTTGCACCGTACGAGTCGTGTACTAATTTTCAATAAACATATTTTATGTAATTTTGCACAATTTTGATAAAATCGTATTATATATTGATTCCATGTTTCTAATTTATAAATACTACTCAATGAGCATTTGTAATTTATAAATATTAATGAATATTTCTTACCCGTGCATCGCACGGGATTTGTACTAGTAAGGATTAAGGTGGTTATTATATTTATTTATTTTTTCTGTTCTTTCTTTATCAAGATATGTCAATACCTACATTATTATTATTATTATTATTATTATTATTATTATTATTATTATTATTATTATTATTATTATTAATATTATTATTATTATTTAAATATGACATATATTGAAAAAAATATGCATGTTTAATTGTTGGATTTCTCTTAATGATAAAAGTGTAAACGAGCTGAGCTCAGGCTTAGTTTAAGCTCATGAACATGCCGTTATTGACCTGAACGAACTCAACTCGTTTATCAACAATCAATATCAAGTAGTCGAGCAACGATTCGAGCTCAACTACACCCATTCGAATTCGAGTTGAATTTAAGCCAAATCACAAGCGATTCGTTTCGTTTAACATTTTAACTATAAGTAAAACGTTGGTTGTTAGTAGTTTTTTATTTCTTAACAAAAATATTAGTTATTTTGAAAATTGATCAAATTATTTCTTTCATAGAGAAATATTAATAGATGAATATAATGTACACATCATTAATTCATTATAATTTTGTGTTTTGGAGGACGACGAAAATTATAAAATAGCCAATTATCCATAAGCTTTTTTTTTAAACAATAATACCACCTCGACGACGTCGTTAGCCGTTTTCCAACTCTCGTCTCCAACTCACTGAAACCAAGCCCACACAAATTCTCCATCACAAAAACCAGAGACACAAAAATATCTCAAACTGCATTTTCTCCGCCACAATCACTTTAGCCATGTAGTAAGTGAAACTTACCTGGTCATAATGGGTTTCACCTCTCTCATGAATCCTAAAATTTCACACTCAAATTGCTACTCCAATGGCGCTTCTCTATCGCAACCGTCCTCCTCCTTTCTCCATGTCCCTGAGACAAGCATTCTCAGGAAGGGTCCGATTTTCCGCCTCAGCCGTTAATATGAAGGTGGAATCCAGTGCAGCGGGCAGCAGAGGTACCGCCATTCTATGGTACAAGCACGACCTTCGCATCGAGGACCACCCTGGGCTCATCGCTGCCTCTCAGCACAGCTGCGTTTTGCCTCTTTACGTGTTCGACCGCCGTATACTCTCGCGTAAGTGCTTGAGGGACTTAAGTTAACGTCATTTGCTTGTGAATGCTTTTTCTTTTATCTTATGCTGATAACCAGTGCAATTGATAAACGTTCTTGTGGTTGTGTTGATGTAAGGGGTACAGTGATTCTTTTTTTTGTATGTTATATAGATTTATATGGTTATTTCTTGCAATGATTTAGGACTTTGTATTTATAGGATTCTCGGATGAAATGCTAGAACTTCTCATCCTTGCTTTGGAGGATTTGAGGAAGTTGCTAAAAGAGAAGGGGATTGATCTAATGATTAGGTTTGGGAGGGCAGAGATTGTCATTGGTGAATTAGTCAAAGAGGTAGTTAAAATATGTTTCACGTAATTCTAATATAGTTTCTTTTTAGAGCATGAAGGAATGATGTGAAAATTTCGAGGTCCTTCTGCTTACTTTTATGTTCGTAACCGTGAATCAAAACAGGTCCAAGCCTGCAGAGTTTTTGTTGAAGATGAGGTGGAGTATGAGCTTCGTGCAATGCTAGATATTTTTAAGGAGACACTTTCGACTTTATCTCTTGAGGAAGGGAACCTTAAAATTGTGACTTGGACCACTCCATTTTACGATGTGAAGGTACTTGCCTCGTTTAATTTAGAATCTTATAACTTTTATGTCTGCTATTGCTGTTTCTACTATGTATACACCGACATTAATGTTGTTGCACACTACGATTACATATATCATATCAGTTCTCATTTTTTAATATTGTTGTTCTAATGAAATATGGATTATTGTATTGGTTTTTGGTATGTCCTTATAGAGTTTGAAGGATATCCCATCATCATTTAATGACTTCCAGAAGCTAAACCTTCCCGTTACCTCTCCAGTTATGCCACCAGAATTGCCTGGGATTGCTAAAAATTTGTCCTGGGGTAGGTAATTCATAACTTAGCTTCCAGTTTTTCCATGTTCTATGATGGTTGTTGCTGCTGAGATATGATCATCGTTTATGATTTAGGTACAATTCCCACCCTGGATGATGTAAAAGAATATATTGATGATATTTCTGATGGTGGCAACACAGAAAAGGAATGGACTGAAATAAACAAGTTTTCTGCTGAAACTCTTCTTCAGAGGAAAAAGGTAAGAGGAAATCCTGACTTGAAGCCATTAGAACTGCTAGAATCTGGTAGTAAGGCCTCCAAGAGAAAGAGATCAGAAAAATCAGTATTTGTAACTAGCCAAGGGAGCTTTGTCGGAGGTGGATCTAGTTCTGTGTTGAATGGTCTAGCGGGATATCTACGATACCTGGAAGGTACTGCTCGAGATGAATGGCAAGAGTAGGTATACAAGATCTGAGTCTTGAATTTCTAATTTCTTCGTCATTCGTGTTTCTTTACATATTCTAATTGGTAAAATGTAAATAATATATTGAGATCATTGGCGTACATTATATTCATCTGGTACAGTTTTTGGCCTTGCTGTGGTCATCTGTAGAAAAAGTGGTTATGTAATTACTTATTATTCTTCTTATCCTTCTTTTTATTATTACTACTATTGTTATTAATTATTTACTGAGTTCTACTTATGCTTCTTCTTCATCCTCCTCCTTCTTTTATTATTATTATTATTATTAATTATTTTCTGAGTAATACTTATATTTCTTTTGCATATATATGTGTATATATATGTATGTATATATATGTATATATGCTACCATATGTATAAATAAGACATATGTGTATAAATAATATATATATTTTTTTTTTTTTTACCGAAGAACTCAGTAGTTTGCACTTGTTTGGTCTTTGTGAACTGCATTATTTCATTTTAGCCATTTTCTTCAGTAATTTTCATCTCATTCTGTATATTCTTATGTAGCTCTATGCTGATCTTTTGAAACCCTTTGTTTTGATAAAGAAAAGATAACTAAAAAGGTTTACATGTTATGTGATGTTGCGGGAATCATAAACTGGAATGACTTAATAAATGTGGAAATTAAGGGAATGAAATGGCTGCCATTTAATTTTCAAGAGGCTACAAGATAGACTGTAGATTGTGTCGTCCCTGTAATGTGTGCTTCAGAAATTCGGAATTTCAGCATTGTATTCTATTTTCTGAAACCGTCCACATCAGGATTTATTTATATTTAGACCTAACTGCAAAAGCATCCACTGATACTTGCTAGTTTTGTCAAAAATATAAACAAAACTATGCAGGGTACATGAAAAGCTACGTCTTGCTGAAAAAAGAGAAGGCGCTTCATTTCAGGCCCTTTTCGGTTCTGCCCTTCTACTTGGCATTATTTCCAGAAGAAGAGTGTATTTTGAAGCGGTTAAATATGAAAAAGAAAGGAATGGTGGGTTCTTATCCCCATTTGGTTATTCGACTGCTACAGCGGCTGCAACAATAAATACTGTGACTTCCATGGAGGTACCATTACTCTTGAGGCAATGTGCTGCTTCATAATCTCAAGAACTTTAGATGATTGTATATCTAAAATGAAATATTTCTTTGAGCAGTGGTACTGGCTTCTGACATTGAGAGACCTAATAAATGAGGCAGGAAATTTCTCGATTAGAATATGGCGATGGAGGAATTATTTAATCCAAGTGAGTATCTGCATATTCAATCTGGGATGAATTATTCTGGTTTATTCTGTATTGATTGCCTTTACCTGGTCAACCAATATTTATCCAATTCCATGTTCTCAGTACACAACGGCTGGTCATGAAGGTCCGGCTGTTCTACTTGTACATGGCTTTGGGGCGTTTCTGGAGCATTTCCGAGATAATATATATCCCATAGCTGAAGCTGGAAATAGAGTTTGGGCAATCTCACTACTTGGCTTCGGCAAATCAGAAAAACCAAATATCATATACACTGAACTCGTATGGTCTGAGCTGCTTCGGGACTTTATAATTGAGGTTGTTGAGGAGCCTGTCCATCTGGTTGGGAATTCAATTGGTGGTATATATCACGTGAAACCCCTAGAAGACAAATGTTACATCTTAAGCCGGCTTTAAATAAGGGGAAATAAGAAAATGTAGAGCTAAAAGAGCACGGAAAGAAAATATAGTAATATAGATTGAGACTTTTGCTTTGACATATGCTCCTCCTCCATAGACAACTGGTTACTTGACTGATGGTCACTCGACTGCAGGATATTCTGTTTCTATTGTCGCTGGTCTTTGGTCTTCTGTAGTCAAGTCTGTTGTCCTTATGAACAGTGCTGGCAAAGTTAGTCCTGAATATTCTCCTTCGGGCTATTCAAAAGTAAGTGATGCACAAACTTGTAGCTCACGGTTGTTTCCTCGTCATTTATGGTTTTTGTCTGTGAATTGCGTGCATGTTAAACTGGCTAATTGACCTAGTTATGCGTAATCTGATTACAAGCACATGAACAACTGATAAACCTGTACAAGATTTTTGTTTGTTCTTGCTTTTTCATGCTCACCACCTTATCCTCAACACTGTTCTTTTGATATTTCAGGAGAGGCAAAGTTCGGGAGCAGGGTGGTTGGGTGCTAGACTCCTTTTGTTGTACTTAAGGTTCAATATCAGGAATATACTGAAGAGATTCTATCCAATAGTAAGGTTACGGGTGCAGTACTTTGGATTCTTGCTATGTTATTATTTTACTAATTCGTAGTTTCACAATATGCAGAAAACCGATAGAGCAGATGATTGGCTCACAAACGAGATGATTAGAGCTGTATCCTTCAAAATATATTCAGGAGAAAAGTAGACTTACTTCCAAAGTCTCTTTTCTACTTATTAGAGTACATAAACATGGCATGATACTCTTTCTTAAAATTGCAACCCTCAAAGACCTTAACAACTTCTGCAGTCCTATGACCCTGGTGTGATTTTTGTTCTGGAAAGCATCTTTTTCTTTGATCTTTCACTTCCTCTGAATTACCTTTTGGAGGGATTTGAAGGGAAGATCCTTGTAATACAGGTACTGTGTACTTTCTGAAACCTCTAACTAGCTTTCGTTTTCCACTGACGAGTTTTCTCTTTATGCAAACAACTGTCTGCTTTTTATTAGGGCATGAAGGATCCACTATCCGACAACAAGTCGATGTTGGCTATGTTTAGGGAGCACTTCCGAGGTGTTACGATAAAAGAAATAGACGCCGGTAAAATTTTCCGCTATTTTGTTAATTTATTTAGCTTTTTGGCCCTCCATATATGTAACTTGCTTATATTGGCACTGTCGTATGTAGGGCATTGCCCACACGATGAGCTGCCAAATGAAGTGAACTCAATCATCAAGGAATGGATTGCCACTCTTGAATCCCAGGGGTCTCCTGTTGCCTCAAAACAGTTGCAGTTATAATGTAGTGAACGCAATGTATAAGATTATATCACATGTAAATCTGAAATTCGTCTCATTACTTTATCTTCATTTGAAATATCATGCTCTAGATATTTTTTGACATTGTCAAAATAAAAATTAAAATAAATAGCACAAGGATGAGTTAATATATGTGCAACTTACACTGTATCAAACCTAGTAATGAGACTAATAGCAAACAGGGAAGATAAAGAGAAGAGGAAAAGCAACTAAACTTAATTAATAAAGCTACTATAAGTCTACATCTCATTTAAAAATAATTCAATCAGTGTAATTATAAATCTGAATCATCTGATTACCAAAAATATAACAAAAAGTCATACTATTCGAAACAGTTTTGGGCCAGATGTCGAGTAGTCATTTCAATAACACTAAAAACTAAATCCATGAGGTTTATAAGAGAGCCTATTTCACGGCCCAATTCCATCACAAATTTCTCTATCCTGCAGTATAAAAATAGCCGAAGGCACCTTGCTAGCTCTTTAGTCTTCAACAAGCTTTTTATAGTACATAAGAAACTTTTAATCACAGCAATGGCGGCATCTCTCTTTCGCAACCGCCTGAAATTTCTCAGTCCTCACCTTGGCGGATCCCTCCATCCGGCGGCCTCCTTCCTCTCTACGCAGCACATCAGCCCGACCGTCCAGCTTCCGCCTCTCACAGCGACTCGACCAGCTGCCTACAGACGCTACTTTAGCCCGGGCGCCGCTCCTGATACCAACTCCGATGACGAAGACGGTGAAGATTTCCCCACCATCGCTCCGATCCCTGGCTACGGTACTTCGCTTCTTTCTGCGGCTTCATGTTGTCCCTTTCTCATTTCCCGTTCCTCAGTTTTGCCGTTGTTTTTACTCTCTTCTTTATATGATTGGTATGTAAATGAGTGGCCTTAAGCTGCTTTGGTTTACCAGTTTGTGTGTTGTTCTGTTGTTTCCTACCTGCAACTTGTAAATAAGCTGAAAATTCCAGTTTTCATCCATTGAAAGAAACTTTTTCGTTCTTTTTGCTCACTCATTTCATATGGAAAAACCTGATTTAGCTTTTAAACGTGTTGGCGTTTGGTGCTCTGTTCGGAACTGCACTCGTTTCATAGATATTTTGAGCTAATGTATGTACAGAAAACGGATTTGATTCACCAGTAGTTCATGTGTATGGTTCGCGATTAACTGTTCCTGTAACCTAGATCTAGTCGATTTTGCCTCTTAAAAAAAAAAAAAAAAATGGTTGTTTCAGGATACGTTTATATCTTGGATCTATTTTGCGCCTCTGTATGCAGGACCAATTTTCTTGTGATTTTTCCCACCCCTTTTCCGCTTCTACTAATTTTGTGCTTGTTTTGCTGAAATGTAAATGTGATTGCAGTTTGTAGTGGTCGGTTCCGCGCCGACTCCTTGAAGCTCATCGGCTATGGCGCCAAGTTCAAACTTGACCACGACGGAATGTACATGAATGCTTTCCTTCCGGGAATGAAAAGAGAAAATGTGAAGGTGTCAGTCAACCGTGGGAAGCTGCGCATTGAGGGCACGAGGAAAGATTTTGAGGAGGAAGAAGAAGAGACCAAGATGACCTACGACAGCCCCGATGGCTGGCTACTGGAGGGTCTGTACGATACCGACCACATGACAGCTAACTTGAAGGACGGGGTTTTGAAAGTTTTCATTCCCAAGATCAGGAGGGCCATCAAGGTTGAGTGAGTGGTATAATTAGAACTAATCTGGGGAATTACACTTCTGTTAGGGTTTTTGTCATGCGGATGTTATATATGGCTTGTTTGATGAACTTGTGTTTGGATGTCTATATAGTGTCTTTTGTGTGAGCTGCTGTATGTTTAAGCGGGGTTCTTATGTTTTTGAGGGTTCTCTGTGACCAGCAATCTTTGGTCAATAAGAGTCAGATTCGTTAATTAATTTCTTGACGAAATTAATAAATTTTTAAAACTTAAATGAGTAATAATTAATTATTATTGTCAAAATAACAGGTTGAAATAATTAAAAAGATGGTCAGATATTCATAGTCAACCTACATAATTCCTGGCTTACCCTTGAGCATTATTAATGCAGATTCTCTCCGGAATATTTTCATAGTAATCAGGTACTCAATAGTCAATATTAAATAAAGGAATCTGCATTATATGTTAAATTTACGTCCTTTAATCGCAAACATTAATCCACATTTTTTCTTATATGGAAAGGTAGTCATTGATGAAAGGATACTTGGCAACTCGTTATAATAGTAATTCAAATGTTGAAGTCACATATGTTCAATGTTCATAACGGTAAAACTATGTTAGGAATATATGAGACTCGTTCCCTTAAATAAAATTAAGATTTAAATTTTAACTGGATTATCCTTGATCACCACATTCATTTTCGCATTATGATATTGTTAGAATTTGTGTATGTGAATCTTAAGAAAATAGCTTAAGAAATTAGAAGAAAAACAATCAAACAAATAAAGTCGAGACACGTAAGATACGTTTTTCTTAAGACGAAATAACCTCGTATATTACCCACTATTCATGGCTAACGCCTCCAAGATACAACGACTTTAGATTTTTGTATAGCGTTAACTCAAATACACAAACCTTCAGCGAACAATATTTCGAAACTTTCAAGATAGAAGCAAATACAAAGGACACAAGATGACTTATGAACTTTGTAAAAGGATGCAAAGAGCTCTTGAAAATTTGATGTATGTAACAATTTCACTTCATGAGAATTTATAAATGTTCCAACACATATCCAAGGGGTTCAAGATATCAAGAGACACATTTTGGGACGTGCTCGGTCGACCAAAACTGAGTAAGAGCCTCTTCGATCGGTACGAATAGGTGCTTCAGTAACGTGTGCTCGTCGCGCCATTTCGCAAGGCAACATAGGTCGTTGCGCCTGTGTTAGGTAGGGCCCTGCGCGCACTTGCGCACCGTGAGCTGGTACGAGCTCGTCCGAACTCGAAATCAAGTTTTATTTTTTCCTACTTGTCTCCTTACAATTCTAGCATACATAATGCATGATTATGTCTCGTTTATTTTGTCTCAAAAATAGAATATATGTGAACCGTACAAGCTTCAAGTTACACAAACTCAATTATTAAACATATCACTTAGAAATAATTTTTCATTCACTTTAAAATAGTTTTGAGAATTTTTTTAAGTCTTCTACATACGAAAAATGGAATCACTAAATCGGTAGAAAATATTTTGTATCACAATCCTCCACAAGAAAGAAATTAATGCATGTATGTAATAACTTGAGAGTTCCGGCGAACCATCATGCATCATGATAGATAGCTTGTGGTTGAATCTTTTTTAGTGAAATACCATCGGATACACTAGTTGGTTAGTAGTGCAATGCTTTGAACTTACCGACTGTTCGTGTGCACCAGACAATAGTACGCACACAACAACTCTAGCAATTTTTGTTCTTACGTTGTGGCCTTTTCGGTGTTTGGCCAAAATCTCTGTTTAGTAAGTATTCACTTTAAACGACTTATTTACTTCTAACTTACAAATATGATTCTTCTATAAAAAGTATTCCACCTTACTCCACCATTAAGTATAGGAATCATTAAAAGTTCTCGACTTAACCTCACCGCTTAGCCAAATTTTAATACTTGACGGTTCTCGGAATGAGTGAAATTTTCAAGTGTTTCAATGAACTGTCAAAACTTAGTTTTCTCATTGAGCCAAGGTTTCAGGATCTTCGATTCTCATTGTTGGGTCACCGCTAAGACCTTATGTGTGTTGTAGAATTTTGTTAAGTTCATTCTCCTACCTAGTTTGTACACTTATCTCGTTACATGCTTTTTGTAAATAAATTCGTTAGATTTATCTCTGACTCCACATGGTCAACAGATATACCCCCACACAAGATAACTTGTTTTATAAATAAATCCATGACTCTATGTCTAGGCTTACTGTTGTACAAATTACTTTATGCCCTTTCAATCACCGATTCACAGTGAGCACAATTTATTCCACCAAAGAATATCCTTAAGAAAATTTCTAAGTCACAAAGTTTCTTCCACGTCTTTTGTCTAAATTTTTAAACTCGGACTCCATTGTGGATCTATCTTTGTACTTAGATTATTTTCATAAAACAAACCTACCCACCTAAAGCGAACACGTAGTCACTTTTTATCTTAATTTTTTTCGTGACTAATATTAGATTCACCATGATCAAAATTCACTCTTAATTTACCCGATAAAATGCGTTTTGGGCCGGATGTCAAGTGAGCATTTCAATAAAGCTAAACAAAATCCGTTAGGTTTGTAAGAGTAAGTCCATTTCACGGCCCAATTAGTTTTCATTTCCATCACAACTTTCTCTATCCTAAAAATAGCCGAAGGCACCTTTGCTAGCTCTATCGTCTTCAACAAGCTTCTAATAGTACCTAGGAACCTTTCAATCACAGCAATGGCAGCATCTCTCTTGCGCAACCGCCTGAAATTTCTCAGTTCTCACCTTGGCGGATCCCTCCATCCGGCGGCCTCCTTCCTCTCTACGCAGCACATCAGCCCGACCGTCCAGCTTCCGCCCCTCACAGCGACTCGACCAGCTGCCTACAGACGCTACTTTAGCCCGAGCGCCGCTCCTGATACCGACTCCGATGACGAAGACGGTGAAGATTTCCCCATCATCGCTCCGCTCCTTGTCCAAGGTACTTAACTTCTTTCTGCGGCTTCATGTTTTCCCTTTTCCATTTCCCGTTCCTCATTTTTGCCGTTGTTTTTACTCTCTTCTTTATATGATTGGTATGTACATGAGTGGCCTTAAGCTGCTTTGGTTTACCAGTTTGTGTGTTGTTCTGTTGTTTCCTACTTGCAACTTGTAAATAAGCTGAAAAGTCCAGTAATGTTCATCCATTGAAAGAAACTTTTTCATTCTTTTTGCTCACTCAATTCATATGGAAAAGCCTGATTTAGCTTTTAAACGTCTTGGCGTTTGGTGCTCTGTTCGGATCTACACTTGTTTCATAGACATTTTGAGCTTATGTATGTACAGAAAACGGATTTGATTCACCAGTAGTACATGTGTGTGGTTCGCGATTAATTGTTCCTGTAACCTAGATCTAGTCGATTTTGCCTCTTAAATTAAAAGAACAACTAAAGGTATTTTCAGGATACGTTTATGTTCTTAAATATGCTTGGATCTATCTTGCGCCTCTGTATGCAGGACCAATTTTCTTATGATTTTTCCCACCCCTTTTCCGCTTCTCATAATTTTGTGCTTGTTTTTGCTGAAATGTAAATGTGATTGCAGTTTATTGTGGTCGGTACTGCCTTGACACCTTGGACCTCAGCGGCTATGGCGGCAAGTTCAAGCTTGACCACGACGGAATGCGCATGCAAGCTTTCCTTCCGGGAGTGAAAAGGGAAGATGTGAAGGTGTTGGTCAACTGTGGGAAGCTGTGCATTGAGGGCACGAAGAAGGATTTTGAGGAGGAAGAAGAAGAGACCAAGATGACCTACGACAGCCCCGATGGCTGGCTACTGGAGGGTCTGTACGATACCGACCACATGACAGCTGACTTGAAGGACGGGGTTTTGAAAGTTTTCATTCCCAAGATCAAGAGGGCCGGCCATCAAGGTTGAGTAAGTGGTATAATTAGAACTAATCTGGGGGAAACACTTCTGTTAGGGTTTTTGTCATGTGGATATTATATATGGCTTGTTCATGGATATTGTTTATATAGTGTGTTTTTTGTGTGAGCTGCTGTATGTTCAAGCGGGGTTCTTATGTTTTTGAGGGTTCTCTGTGGCCAGCAATCTTTGGTCAATAAGAGTCAGATTCGTTAATTAATTTCTTGACGAAATTAATAGATTTTTAAACTTGAATGAGTAATAATTAGTGTCAAAATAACAGGTTGAAAGAATTAAAAAGATGTTCAAATATTCATAGTCAACCTACATAATTCCTTACTTATCCTTAAGCATTAATGTAGATTATTATTATTATTATTGCTAGGCTATTTTTAACGCTTTTTTAAATATTTTTAAAATGATTTGCTTAATTATTTCTTGATAGGTGTGACATGGTCACTTAAGTTGAAAAGTGATGAGATATAAATAATGAAATATTTGTTTGATAAAAGTAACTAAAAAAAAAGTACAAATTCAGAAGAAACAAGATTTTTAACCAACTTGTACAACTTTTTATCATGTTTAATTATTTTTTGACTGTACTAATGCATTTTGAAAAGGAAATTAAAAAATCGTATAATGATGAACTCAGTCAAATACTCGGTCATTTTCCAGCATGAGATATTTATCTATAGCCGTTTTAGACACAATTTTGTAATCATTATTATTTTAAAGTAATTTGTGTAGTCATTCTTTGGCATGTTCATTTACGTTGAGAAGAAAAGACGTGTTCCAAAAAAGGGTAAAAAAAAAATATTAAGTTTAGAATAATGGTTATTTTTCTCCAATTTGTAAATATTATTATATAATTATTTAATTATTTTTTGATGGTACTAATGCATTTAGAAAAAATAACATATAAATAAAGATATATAGTACAATATTTTCAGCTGTGAGGTACCAAATTTTGGGCTATTCCCTGGCCTCCACGTATCATTAGTTTCACAGCCTCCACAGTGTGACTAAGAAATAAAGCTGCATTATTTCCTCATTGTAGTATGCATGACATGCAACCTTCACATTAGACCATAAAGCCACTTGTTTTGGTGCAGT